TTATTATTCAATTTAATTTATTCTTTAAATATTTCGTTAATTATATATATTATTTATTTCATATTTAATTACTCTATTTCGATTATTTATTTGAATAATAATAATAATTGAATTGGTTAAGTAAAAAAATTATTATTCAATTTAATTTATTCTTTAAATATTTCGTTAATTATGTATATTATTTATTTCATATTTAATTATTCTATTTCGATTATTCATTTGAATAAAAATAATAATATTTAATTTAATTTTTCATTTTACTATTTCTTTAATTAATTATCTTAATTGGTTAAGTAAAAAATTATTATTCAATTTAATTTATTTTTTAAATATTTTTTTAATTATGTATATTATTTATTTCATATTTAATTACTCTATTTCGATTATTTATTTGAATAAAAATAATAATATTTAATTCTATTTTTTATTTAACTATATTTTTAATTAATTATCTTAATTGGTTAAGTAAAAAAATTATTATTCAACTAAATTTATTCTTTAAATATTTCGTTAATTATGTATATTATTTATTTCATATTTAATTACTCTATTTCGATTATTTATTTGAATAAAAATAATAATATTTAGTTCAAAATTTCATTTAAGTATTTCTTTAATTAATTATATTAATTGTTTCCATAATTAATTATTTTAATTGTCTTAAAATGTATATTATTTATTTCATATTTAATTACTCTATTTCGATTATTTATTTGAAACGTATAATTAATTACTAAACATATATTTAAATAAAAAAATTAAAATTCTATTTAATTTATCTTTAAATATTTCGTTAATTATCTTAATATATATATTATTTATTTCATATTTAATCACTCTATTTCGATCATTTATTTGAATACAAATAATAATATGTAATTCGATGTTTCATTTAAGTATTTCTTTAATTAATTAAATTAATTGGTTAACTAAAAAATATTATTTAAATTAATTTATTCTTTAAATATTTCTTTAATTATCTTAGTATGTATATTATCTATTTCATATTTAATTACTCTATTTCGATTATTTATTTGAATAAAAATAATAATATTTATTCGATTTTTCATTTAAGTCTTTTTTCAATTAATTATTTTAATTGTCTTAAAATGAACATTATTTATTTCATATTTAATTACTCTATTTAGATTATTTATTTGAAACGTATATTTAATTACTAAACATATATTTAGTAAAAAAGAAAAAAAATTAAAATTCTATTTAATTTATCTTTGAATATTTCGTTAATTATTTTAATATATATATTATTTATTTCATATTTAATTATATTTTTTAACATAAAAATTAAAAAAAAATCAGAAAATAAAAAAAATTAAAAAATTCGGACCCATTGCTGGGTCCGAACCCGACCAAATGGTCTTGGTCCGGACCATGATATGGTCCGCAACGGACCCAGACCATGATGGTCCGTTTCGTAAGGTCCGTTACGGACCCAGCTTGTCCGTAACGAACCGTCCCGGTCTATTACAGGCTAGAGCTCACCGGAAAACTCCATTTTCAACGAGTTCCGTCTCATTTTTTCACTTTTTCAACATTTCAACCTCAAATTCGATCTTTTCTTCCATTTTAACCATAAAAAATTGAATTTAACTCATATTTAAATCCTAAACATTCAAACTTTCACTTATTCAAAGTAATTATTTATAAAGAACATGTTTAACCTTCCAGAAAAAATGGCGATCTCCGACTAATCGAGGTGCGTCCCGTCTTGGTCGAAGTGGGTCAGGTCCGGGTCGTTTGTAGGCGACGTGGATGCGGACTATTTTTTCTCTCTCTCTCTCTCTCTATTTTCCTCTTCTCTTCTTTTCAAATGAGGGTATTTTCGACCCTTTAGATTTTGCTTACATCTTTTTTTTTTTTTTTTTTTTTTTTTAAAAAATTGGTCAAAGGCCCTTATGAAAAAGTGGCCGGGTGGGGGCAGCCATTGGCCACCATTTCCTCGTAGGGGGTGGAGGTCTGGGCTTAGCCCTGCCCCCAAGCCCATTAAATTTTGAAGTCAAAAAAAATATTTTTCTACAAAATTCTTTTTCTCAATGTATCAATATTGTAGTAGAAACTTTTTTTTGTACCCCTTGGCTCCATTTTAATAGAGACTTAGGAGGTTCGATTAGATCTTGCTTGCTTGCTGAGGTTGGGATTGAACTCTCATTGGGAATTGCAAAAATTGTACTTCCTCCATCTCATTTATATAGACTTACTTTCTTTATTTGCTTATCTCAATTATATAGTCATATTTTTTTATTGAGCTTGTTTTGTTTTGTTCGTTTATTAATATATCTTTATTTAATTTGCCTAGTTATAATCAATTTTTTTCACTTAAACTTGAAGCTCCTGTTTGGCCTCCATTTTGTATAAATGAAAATTGGTGGAATTTTTTTTTTTGAAAAATGTGGTTGAAAAAGAAGGAAAAATTTTCGATTTACGTGTAATATTATTTTATGAAAGATTGTGTAGTTAAAAATATGAGAGAGAAAATAAAATATAATGTGATGAAAATTAATGGAGGCCAAACGAGAGTGAAATTGTACAATTATAAATAAAGATAAACTAGGCAAGTTAATAAAAAAATTACTTTTTCAATTACATTAAATAAGATTTTTTTTTAAACTGTGAAAAATAAAACAAGCTTATATAAATGGGATGAAGATAGTAATTAATTTTAGGAATATTTGTAGTTGTAGTTCCTAAGTTTTCATTTTTTTGCAGACAATACCAAAATTTTCTATTTGTGTCACCCACAGTTTCAAATATTTAATTTAGTTACAGTAGATGGACAAATTGATGATCCCATCTAGTTGACTATTAGTTGACAAGGAAAATAAAATTTTGAAGTCTTTTGAGTATATTTGAAAGGGTAAAATGGTAAATTTATATATTTTTTAAAATATCAACAATTAGAACCATTTAATTAAAAAAAGGTTAATCTACCCTACGGCTCCCCTCATCTCGCACCCCCAAATCTTCATCCTCTTCAACTTTTCCACCTTTAAAAAAATAATAATAATAAAATAAAAAAATAAAAAAATAAATTAATTATTCTAAGAAAATGTAAATTTATCATTTAAGCCTTTCAAAATTGGTCAAAAGTGATCTAAGTTTTATTTTTTTGGCCAACTATCAAATGGATGGACCACAACTAAATTATAGGTTTGGGACTATGGGCAGTACAAATAAAAGTTTTTAGGTAAGTCTATAAAAAAAATGAAAGTTCTGGGATCACAGTTGTAATTATCCCTTATGTTTAATTAGAACCAAACTTAACTAGTGAGTGTGGTCAAAATCTTGTCCAATTTGAATAATTCTAGACAAAAAATTGTCATCCCTCATAAGCGCTCTCAATAAATCTAGGTATATTGAGGGTTTGTTCGAGCTCCATTTTTGAAAAAAAAAAATTTATGATAGTTAAAAAATTAGAGAAAATTTTGATTTTACGTGTAAAATTATTTTATTGGAAAAATGTGTGATTAAAAACGAGTTTGAAAAAAAATTGAATTTTTAAATAATACGCTCAAATAATGGTTGAATAAAATCTAACTAGAGGAAAAGAAATAAAAATTATAATAAAAATTATTTCCAAAACATGTCTTTTTTCGTTGGTGAATGTTTTATAACTTAAAAATTCTCATTTAATTTAAACATAACAAAATATTTCATTTAGGATGTAAACCTTAAGTTTTCGTTTTCAACATTTTGTTTTGTATGAGTTAATAGTAATAATAATAATAATAATAATAATAATAATAATAATAATAATAATAATAATAATAATAATAATAAATTTAATTTTTGTTTTAAAAGAACTGAATTTAGAATTCTGATTACAAGTTCGACATCAAGTTGATCAAGTCTAGTTGATATACTTTTAAAAGAGTATAAGAGCATCTTCAAATAACACTTTAAAAATGAAATGCTATTTAGTTTAAAGTGTCAATCGATCAAACCTTAAAGTTTGGCTAGAAAAAGTTCTTTATTTTGATTTTTTAAAATAGCGAGTACATGTTTGGCTCTCCATTTCTATTTTATTGAAGTTGTATTTAATAACATTTCATTTTAACCAATGTCTAGGTTGTAATTGCATGGCATTAAACAGTTGATTCATTTAAATATAATATCACATGATTCATTTAATTAAACATATTAAGCGAAACCACTTGAATTGATGTTCTAGCACCACTAGTGCTAAATAGTAGATAGCATTATTCTTACTTAAACTATTAGTATTATATGGAATATTTTAGTAATTGACATCTATAAATATTAAGTAAAAAAAATAAATAAATTAATGAATGTTGGGAAAATTAAAATACAGAGCAAAAGAAATAAAAAATAATATTTGAAGTGTATAAAATATTATACTCTTTAAATTTAAACATGCTATCCATTATGATCAAGATGCTCTTTCAAAATAATGCGTATTGAAGATGCTCTAAGGGACTTTTAATATTCCATCTTGGTCACTAATTACCTACTCCTTCATATCGAGAATTTGTTTGGAAAATATACTTCCTCCGTCCCATAAAAATATATTTTACCTTCTATTTTTATTTGATCTAAATTATAAGTTACCTTCCTTGTTGAGAACATAGTAAATTTCTTAATTTCTAATATTTATCAACAAATATGAATAATTAATATAGGGGCATATTAGAAAAAATATAAATAAAATATATAATTTCAACTATATTAATTAAGCTTTTTTAAATTTGTGTGAGAACGGAAGCAAATCCATTAGCGTGGGATGGAGAGAATAATTTATAAATGAATTATAAATTCAGTCAATGTGAAATATTAATTTTAACCGTTTATTTATAACCACAACTTATTATTCACACAATTCGTAGATCTCACTACCATTTTCATTATAAACCATTTATTAATTTACGAAACAGAGCCTTCTTTTTCTTCAGACTTGTAATCATTGGGAAAGGAAAAGAGAGCTACAAATTAAGTGAAATCACAAACAAAAGGAAACAACATTCTAAGTATATATATAAAAGCATAGTATTAATAAAGGAACGCCATAATATTTTTAGTTTTTTAGTTTGGACCCGATAAAACAAAAGATTTAGAATATACAGCAGTGTTCATCACTCAATGCTACTCAATATCAATTGTGAACTTGATATGGAATTGAAACTGGTAACTGAATGTGAACGCTATGATTATTCAAGTGCAACCATCTTGATTCTTGATTGTCATTATGGTCTGCAACCACTGTGATTAGAACTCCATGATGCTCCACATCCATAGCAGAATTCGAATTTACATCTGTGGCATCACCAAAAGAAATGCAGCAATTAATAAGGCTTTGTTTGTAATAAAGAATTCAAGAAACAGAGTCGATGAGAAAGGGTTCATGTAATTGATTCTTGGGACGTAGTCTACGCTTGGGCTGGGACTCGATTGCGCTAATCTCATTCATGACCTTAAGTGTAAGACTAAGACCTATATGCAAAAACTAGACTTGGGCTTCCAGACCGTCTAGGTAGCGTGGTTTTGGATCCCAAACCTTAAGAAGTGGAGGTTCTCGGTCCCAACTTATTTAAATTTATGAATATAGTTTTGACTTGCGTCTCACATTTGGCTTAGAAAAGTGTGCACAATGGTTGGAAACATTTTCATTTTGAAAAAATGTGCAGCAAACACAGGCTAAGTCTCATGACTCATCCGAATTGAGCGTCCACTTTTGACAGTTTTCATCACGTGCAAACTTGAATTCATAGACTCAAATCACTTAGGGGTTGAGAACCTTTCTTTTGAAGGTTGAAAATCCAAAACCGCACTATCTGAAAGCTTAGGGAGCCCAAACTCAATTTCCCAACCTAGAAAAACCTACATATCTCATCAGCCTGATTGTTACCCAACAGGATACACATAGGAGATTATGTTTCAAAATTTTAAGCACCAAACATCAATGCTATTAATCTATATTCAACACACCATGCCTGATCCCCTTGGAAAAATCAGTTATCAATAAAGAATATGGAGACATATTAGTCCGACTCCAGTCACTGCGACTCCCTTCATGCGGAGACACCCTGTATTCTATTACGTCTTACAACATTTTGTCATGAAATATCGCATGTTTCACGTTAACTAAAGCTGGATATAAAGTGGTTTGATGTTTAGCTTTCCAGGTTTAAGTCCCATGAAAGTCTCATCGATTTTAGCATCCACTTTTGACAGTTTTCATCATGTGCAAACTTGAATTCATAGACTTAAATCAATTAGGGGTTGAGAACCTTTCTTTTGAAGGTTGAAAATCCAAAGCTGCACTAACTGAAAGCTTAGGGAGCCCAAACTCAATTTCCCAACCTAGTAAAACCTACATACCTCATCAGTCTGATTGTTACCAAACAGGATAACATGGGATTCATGTTTCAAAATTTTAAGTACCAAACATCAATGCTATTAATCTATATTCAATACACCATACTTGATCCCCATGGAAAATCAGATATCAATAAAGAATATGGAGACCTATTGGTCCGACTGTAGTCACAGCGACTCCCTTCACGTGGTGACAACCTGTATTCTATTACGTCTTTTAACATTTTGTTATAAAAGATCGCATGTGATTTTCACGTTACCTAAAGCTGGATATAAAGTGGTTTGATGTTTAGCTTTCCAGGTTTAAGTCCCATGAAAGTTTCATCGATTTTAGCATCCACTTTTGACAGTTTTCATCATGTGCAAACTTGAATTCATAGACTTAAATCAATTAGGGTTGAGAACCTTTCTTTTGAAGGTTTAAAATCCAAAGCTGCACTAACTGAAAGCTTAGGGAGCCCAAACTCAATTTCCCAACCTAGTAAAACCTACATACCTCATCAGCCTGATTGTTACCAAACAGGATAACATAGGAGAATATGTTTTAAAATTTTAAGTACCAAACATCAATGCTATTAATCTATATTCAACACACCATACTTGATCCCCATGGAAAATCAGATATCAATAAAGAATATGGAGACCTATTGGTCCGACTCTAGTCACTGCGACTCCCTTCACGTGGAGACACCCTGTATTCTATTACGTCTTTTAACATTTTGTTATGAAATATCGACATCTAGACTAAAATTACCCGCAGATTCTGTAATCGATCTTAGATAGAAATATAAAATTTACTAACCTGCAACTGATATGCAAGCAGCCCTCATTTCTTTCGACGAAGAATTTACACTTAGGACATCTCTGCCAGTTTTTCTGCTTAGCAAGTTCATAGACCATCAAATCTTCCCTTCCTCTTTCATGCTCATTCATCCTCTGAAACTCTTCACATTCAACTCCCGAATGCCATGACACATTGCACTGTGCACAGAACAATCTCCAGCAAAAAGGACAAATTGATTCCCTTATAACCTCATCGGTATCCTTAACCAGCATAGCTGAACAATCTTTGTACGGACAATAAAATTTCTGCGAAGGAGGAATGAGTGACTCACAAAGGACATCCTCCCATGTTGTAATAGCATACTTAGATATGATCTCCCTAGAAGAATCTATGTTGAGAGTGGCTCTACAGTCCAATTCCGGGCACTTTACGACCGCGGTTTCTTGGACTTTTATTGCCACATGTTCGGAAATGCATTCGGCACAAAACTGATGATTGCAGCCCGGAATTGTGAACATCTCATCACTTTCTTTACTTCCTATGCATATTTTGCAGAATCGTCTCGATGATTCACCAACAACTGTTTCGGAAATCGGATCAGTTCTCGGGTTCTGAGAACTGATTATTGAGGCCATGATGGATTCTTGGAGCTGCAATTCTTCAGCATATAAAGAATCTGAAACTGGAAGAATCATTTCTTCGACTTCGCTTTCTAAGTTGAATAGCAAAGAGAAGTAAAAATCGTCGCAGGAAAGATCAAATGATTCATTAAAAACATCAGACACTAGTTCCTTTGATTCTTTTGCCATTTTGAAGAATCCTTACAACAGTAGAAATGAGAATTGTGATACAAATGAAGGGATTCCTTCGTTTTGGCTATTTTTTTCGATCTTTTTCTATGTTATAATATAAAAATCCGCCAAGAACTGTACTTCTTTCTTAGCTCAGAAGGAGACTTCTCTTATTGGAGTTTTGGTCTTCGGTCTTCTTGACTTTCCCTACTTTCACTAAGAAATAATGAGGACGAGGCTTAGTTCATTAATATTAATAAATTGCGTAATTATTAAAAATATACAATTACTGTCTCAGATTCGACTTTTTTAAACAAAAGTTGGTACATTTTTTCTTGAAAGTAATGATTGAATGGTAAAAGTTTACCACTTTTCTTGTTACTAGTCTTTGAAACTATTTTAAAGGTAATGTTAGAAACTATTTTAAAGGTAATGTTAGAGTATTAAATGCGTTGAATTTTTGTAGAATTCTCAACTGAAGGTTTGCTATAGCTACATTGAAATGAGATTTTTCTTATTGAGCATGCAGAGAGATTTATTAAATTATATGATTTAAAAACACAGAAAATCTTTTCCCATGTGGAGTAAGGACAATCAAATTACTTACATAGTTCAAGTTGAATTATTAGCATTATATTTAAGGTTAATTAGTTTGATCATAATCCTTTTAACTCAAGTTAGATCAAAAGCACTATCAATTAAGCTAATATATGGAGATCAATCCTAAATCAATTGAGAAACGTTAAAAAGATGAATTATTCATCAAAGTTATATAATAGGTTGATGAAATATTTCTTCAATCGGTATAAAATTGGAAGGATAATCATAATAGAAAAAGGATTACACTCTTCATCTCTCATTTCATGATGATATTCTTGCTAGAACTCCACATACTTGTTAAGGAGAAAATTCATTCATTTCCACGCACATATATAAATTTAAAAGTATATACCCATATACAAAACAAGAAACGAACTACAATAAAATAAAAGAGAAGAGAACAATGCGAAAACCTCTCATTCGAAAATATAATTTACTGGGACTTAATTTATAACAATCCAATAGCAGAAACTGATGATGGTTGGAGAAATTAATTTTATGAAAATAAGGGGAGTTCTCATACTCTTCTTGAAAATTACACTACATAATAAATAGCATTAAATCAACCAGTAAGCAATTTACCTCCCCATTTTACAAGGTCCAATTGGAAAGTTTCTGCAATGCACTTCTGACACAATGTTTTCACCCTATGAATGTACCTTAACTCGTATATTTCAACTTCAACAAGCTATAAGCAATAACCCCGAAAAATTCAATATATGAGCTGGTGAATTTTATTGGTAAATGGTAAGAAAAAAAAAGACCAATACACTGGTCAAGATCATATATTTATATATATGTTTGTGTAGAAAATAACTATCTTACACAACATTCAGCTAAATTTCAAATGACACAATGTAATAAAAGGGAATACTCATTTCTTGACTAATATCTTGCGCCTGGGGTACTCTTTACCACCGCCACTTAACTTCAAAGGCTTGGCACTATCTGCATTCTCAATATCAGCCTTTTCCTAAATATGTCAATTAAAAACACATAATGATCAGAATCATAAGAAAAGAAGTACAAAAATTGAGAAGACCGTGTCTCTCTATTTTTTCAATATGTAACTTGTAGAAATAAATTGGTGCACTCAAAAATTTTCTTAGTTGCAAATTACATTTTCCCCAGCCACACACATCAATTCAAAACAAAGTTCAAAACTAAGTTATGTGTGTAAATGCATAGTTTGACGACTTAGATTTAATAATTTAACTTCTCAAATCTATAATGCTGATAGAAAAAATTGAAGAGAAAGAACAGAAAGGCAAGTTACTAAGCACTCCTTATAACCACTCTCTTCTCATTGAAGCTAGTTTCTCTAAGGAATACCTCCAAAGTCAGCTGCCACACTCTCTATTCCTTTTTGTGTTCTTGTTCCTCTCCTATAGGAGATACTTCTTCTCATTTTCTCTAATCAACTTTTTCTTTTTATTAACCGTAAACCTTTGTGAAACAAGGTAAGTGTACACCTAAATTGATGAATTTCATTCGATATCTTCTTGACGAGCTTTACTGTGTACATAAATCCATCAATGACTACCTATCGTTACTTACCATTCCTTCTTCATGTCCACCAAAAGTCTAAAGACTTCAATTTCATTACAATTAAGATTCTTGATTTTGTGAAGCCATACAAAATCTAATAAGAAATCAAAAGGCCACGTGATCTATAAATCAAAAGAACTTTGCTTGAAGTTTTATCTCTGCTCATGTTCATTATCATTTGGTTATGAAATATAAGGACAAGGCCTACATCACCTTGGTAGTTGGAGATACTCATGTCATACATTTTTTCTCATTAGCAAACCACTTAACGGATCTAATACACTAACCTACATTAGATTCTACATTTACCCTTTCCTCATTTCCATTAGTTTCTTATTAAGTACTTAGAAGTTAAACTTTCTGTCCAAAATTTTTTAGCATTTTCGAAACCCCCTATATAAGAATTTAAACATCATATCACCTAAACTTCTAAGCCGAAAAACTATTAATGAATCTAATTCTACCTAAGATTTGTTCTTTAAAGGCATTTCGAAGAAGTGAAGGAGGACTTCAACCAAAATCCAAGAAAGAGATTTCACTGTTATGACTCTCTTTTCCATTCGTCCCTTATCCATCTGTGTACGAGTGTGTGCATTTGTATGACTATGTTAATATCCTTTTTGTAGTGGAGGCATCAATATCATTAATCATTTGATGGTAGAAGTGATCCTTTTTTCTGGATTTGATAGTATGTAAACCAAAAAGATAAGAAGACTGAAGTTTTACCGAGTTACTAACAGTCATATTGCCATTTTTAATCCCCTGGGAACACAAGACCATAGCTGGACAGAGTGTTGTGTTAAATATTAAATTCTAGCCAAAGTTTAAATAGGCAAGGCTTCGTTGAGTTTGTAAGACAGCATCTTCATATCCTGAAATATATTATATCATTACTAATTAATTGGAATCTACTCTATTAGACTTTTAAGAATAGAGGCAGAGAATAAGAAGAGATGATAAAAAAAATTCATCACTTCTTCTCAATCACTAAAAGCAAGAAATTGACTACAAAATTATTTTAAGCAACTGTGAGACCTACGGAAGCATTGCAAAATTCAATCAGACTAATATTTAGTGCATTTCAAACCAAGTTGTTTTGAAGATCAGACCTGCTCAAATGAAATATTTTGCAACAACAAAAGATCCAACTGCTTGAATCCCCAGTTTACGAGGTGATCATATTATTCCAATGTTACTATCCAACCATGTGTAGCAAGGTCAAAGAAAAGCAATACTGTCAAAGGTTCCATTAAAATAGAATAATGTCTTTCACTCCTCGTGAGACCTGCACAAATAATCTTATTTCTCTATAATCAGTTAAGGATAAATAAAAACAAGAATTAACCATACATGACAACAACACAAGAGTGGGACTCAATCCATTAATGCATAATGATTCATCTAAGTATCTGGCCCAAACTTTAGCATTCAAATAACCTTTATTAAGCCATTTTCCAATAATCTGAGCTTTTAGTGAAGATTCAAAGATAATATTTTCTTTATATTTCTTCTGAAAAAACACAAAAGAATAAAAAGAAAGGTCAGGAACAATTGTGGCTGTGTCTTAAATGCTTGCGAAACTACTTTTCCCTCTATATCAGAAGTAAAAATAAGAGTACTGCCAACAATGGGGAAAGATCAACAAGGAAAAAACTAATCATGCACTACAATAAGAGGTAAAAAAACTCTTATAATTTCAATGATCTCACCTTGAATTGCAAATTACTTATAATTGCATCAGTTATAAGCTCCGAATTGCGTCACAAATCAAGTACCAGAGCAATAAGTGCCTGAAGGTCAATATCAACAGTGATGTGATCACATCTCTAGAAGTAAAAAATAATTAAAAAAAAAACATATCTCAATTCTCAAGTGTCCATAGATTTATGTGTATGTGTGTATATCTACACCATGAATTTGTATATATGTAAACCAATCTGGTTCTCAAATACCTCGTAGACAGATGAGATTATGAAATACACAAATTTTTGTGTCAAATTTCTTTGCATTGAAACTTTTTTTGTGGAGTCAATCTCCTGAAAATTGGTAAGTTGAGGGAATCCTATGTAATATATATAAAATGAAAGTTCTTTCTACGAATGATAGTGATACACAGTATAGCAACAGATAAACCTAAAACCAAGCAATTTGATACATTACTTCCCCTTTGAATTGTAAAACAAAATTTCCAGTAAACACTAGTAGTAATCATAATTTTCAAATTACCAGACATCAGATATTACAAAAGAAACATGGTAAGTGTGAAGGAGAAATAAGATCATATATATACAAATAAACTAAATTAAAGAAACAAATTCTATAAAATAAAAAGGATTCTAACTCACCGTTGCAAGCTATAATCAAAAGGTAGAGGATGAATAAGAGGTAGAGTAGAGAGTACTCCATTAGTATTGCAGTTGTGATATTTTTGCATAACCCATCCATTATCACACCCTACAAGACCAATCGAGGCCAATGCCTCACTATCTCACAAAAAATTGAACAAATCTTCTTGTCTGATTTTGAATTCTCAATAGTGACTACATTTGTATATATGTTTATGATAGAGCGGATAACGTCATTGAAGTTTGAGTAGCACATATGGGTGTAGAGCTGCCCAAAACATGAATAAAAACACTGCTTAAAATTGTACCAAAAAATAGAAAGATAAAAATTAATAGCATACTATGGTTGGAACCTCTGAAGGCAAAGACATAAATATGATGATAAAAATTAATGTTAGAATTAGAAAAAAAAAGATATGAGAGACAAAGAAAGTATGGAAATGGAAAGTCGTAAAGAAGAGAATTCCAACCATTTCAATAGTTTTATTTGTCACTCTTGGAAATGATTTTTGCCTAAATAAAATGACAGAAATTAATGTCTGAATTAGAAAAATAAAGATATGACAGATGAAGAAAGTATGGAAATGAAAAGTTGTAAAGAATGGATTTACAACAATTTCAACAGCTTTATTCGTTACTCTTAGAAAGGATTTTCTTGAAGCTTGAGCTTGTTCATTAGTAGAGAAAAATGCTTGGGAAGATAAAGGTCATGGTAAGAGGAAGAGTTTTATTATATACAAATAAACCTACAAATATATAAAACCATGCTTGATACTTGCTCGTTTATTTGTATATAATAGGTGTTATATAGTTCATGAAGCAAAAACTATTCTTCATTACAAATTTACAGCTATAGATTAGAACCTCTATTTCCATGTCACCTGTAAAGCTAGGCAACAACCATTAACTTGTGGTTTTGACCTGAATTCATAATAAACATGGTTGAAACATTCAAAAAATTGAACAATCAAAAGAAAAAAAAATATCACTTTGAAGCTCATGCTTCTTACAAACAACTGAACAACCAAAAGCAAATAAATTTCGCCTTGAAGTTCACATCTCTTATAACATGCTTTTCTCCAAATAATTTCTAGATATCCCTACATTCAATAAGCACATCTAACTCATCCTGAAGTTCCTTTCCCACATTCAAGTTATCTTTTTCGCGTGAACCTTGGAGAAGAAATAGATAGATATATAGTTTCGTGAACTTACTGTGATAAATTTGAATAAAAGTACTATAAGATCAATTACACAGATATATAACTTCATGAACTCACTAAAATTATGTGAATAGAAGTAAGCTCATTCAAATTGAAGCTTTAATAATTGCCATCGAAACACGAGCCAATTCTGTAGATTACTCATTGAACTAGAAGATATGAAGAATCAAGTTTGAAAAATTTATATATTTACAAACATAATCAAGAACGATAGATAAGTGAAATAAACCATGAAAGATTTATCACCACAGGAAATCATCAAGAACAAACTCATAAATTCAAAAGAAATAAAAAAGAACCAATTGGATTTCCAACTATAACCATATCTAAAAATAAAACAACAATCCCCTTCAAAAACTACAAAGACAACAATTTATCATTTGATTTTGTAATCTCTTTTGATGAATAAATACAAATTTCAGGAATAATATAAATGAGTATGCAAGTACACAACCCAAAAAATAATCTAGAAGCAAATGAATTAACAAGAAACATATCATACAACAAATCATCATGTAAAGTCATGTTTTGTTCAAGCTCAACAAACCAAAAAAATAAGTCAATTAATAAGTCAAACAATTTTTAAGTTCAAAAATGAAAGTGGGTGTGAAATTCATTCTACATTCATCTTTGAGAAATATCAAAACAATCTACACAGTGTTTCTTATGTGTTATTAATCATGTCTGTAAATTTTTCAATGAAAGAAGTTGTACGCTTCTCTAGTTAGTAATTCATATTGAATGTCTAGGCATGAAATCTAGATCCGTGACATATTATTAAAAATCATCGGACCATGTGTGTTGAATTTGCTATTGGAGCCTTAGTATTTTCTACGTGACCATTTTTTCTTCACTGACCCTTTCTTTTGCTTGTATGAATCACATAAGAGAACAATATGCTCAAATATACATGAAATTTTACTAATAGTTTAGGCATCATGTTAATTTTGAACTTACATATCTGAGAACAAAGCATGGGAGTCTATAATACATCGATGACATTTACGAATTTAAACTACATGGAATGAGTGATTTCACCTTTTTCTTTATACTGTCTCTATCGTAGGAGCCAATTTCAATGCCACTAGTACATCTCATACTAAAGAGCAAGTTCAACCAGTTAATACTACAATGATGAAAAAGTATAAGATAAGTTATAATAGAATAATAAAAGAAGTAAATATTAATCATAGGGTTACATATGTAAAAAGAAAATGAGATGGGATGGAATAGAAATAAAAACTAAAACCTTTATTATAAGTATGGTGAATACAACAAGAAGAACATATTGAAGACAATTTTTCAAATTTTGGAAAAGCAAATTTTCATTTTATATTTGTATAGCATCAAGATTTATAGGTGAGTGCAGTGTATGAAAGAAATGCAAAAGTAATCTATGGAGTTATGAGATAGTCAGAGAAAATAGAGGTTTTTCTAGTGACCCAAAATATAGAACGATTAAATTATTAACGCAATACGATTTCCCGAAGCACAAAACATACAATTAATCTTAAATAAGCGATGAATACAAAATAAATGAACAACCATTTATTATTTGAAGAAATGGCACAAAGATCAGATATGGATCTATATTCTTATTCTTCTTAATCAATGCTCAATTCACAAGAAAAATTCTGCATAAGTGAAGAAAATAAAATAACAAGGTATAAAAGAACAAAGTAAGTAGTATATAGGATTACACATGCTTAAGAAGAAGTGGAATAACATTTTATGTCAAACTGTTGAAGAAATCTCCCTGTAGACTCCGTTGTGATCTATCTGATGCTTAATGAAAACTATAGTACGTAAAAATCTCATCTAAAATTTATTCAAGTAAAATTCTGGGCATATAGTCAACATATTCGTTTGTAGACGCAAGATTGGATCAATTTTCCATAGCAAGTAAATACATTTTCATAATATTCAATTTAATGTTATGAAAAAAGACTAAGATATGTCAAAAGAATAGTAGTAAGAAAAGGTGTATTCCTACGGATGTATAAAAGAAAAAAATTATTTATAGACAACATTTTTAGTATGTAGGGTGTAAATTTTTAGTGCTCGACGATTTAAGTAGAATTTTTAAAGATTTTCTTGTTTTAACTCTTGATAATGCTACATAAAGTTGTCCATGACAGAAAACTGGTTCAGGAAGATACAAACCAACAAAATCAAGTGTTTGACCTTGTGCTTTGTTTATCGTCATTGCAAAACATGGCCTAATTAGAAATCGCGTTCTTTTAAATGGAATTGAGGTTTGATCACTTCTCAAAGATATAAAAGGGATTCCGATAAGAAAACATATTTTCCACAGTATTCACTAGTTGTAATTTCTGCAAGAATTACATTCTTCTCAAATTTTCGACAACTAAGATATGTCTCATTCAGAAGAATTGATATTACGCAATAAGATTATAGGACAATTTAACTTAAGCTTCAATTTATGGGGTGGAATATCGTTTGGGGTCAAACTATTCAAGAAATATTCCTACAAGGTTTGTTCTTATTTGTCAATTGCTTCATCAAAACTATATTATGTGTAAATTTTACCTGGAATCTAGTCTAATAAAATTCTGTTAATATGATCGACACATTTATTTGGAGGCGTAAGAATAACTCGATTTGCCATCTTATGCAAATTATCATCATATGCTTCTATATTTGGGAAGACATGATTCATTAAAGTTTTTAAAGACGTAATTTCATCCTTGAATGGTATAATTATGCGGTTTGGAAATGTAATGCAGCTACAAGTATGTTCTTGCTCTATTTCGTTTCCAATTCTGAGCAAGCAGAGAATGTTGGATCTATCTTTGCCCTCATGTTTTCAACCAACGGTAGATGTGAATACAAAGGCCATAGGTCAGAGAAGACCAAGCTAGCCTTCATTATGTCTTTTTTTTCCCTCTTGGCACTACCGTTAGAGCTTGTCGAAAATCTCCTCCGAGAACTACTATTTTCCCACCAAAAGGTAAGTTACAATCAGTAATATCTCTGAGCATTCTATCTATAGCACAACGATTCACCATAGGTGCTTCATCCCAAAGTATTAATTTTGACATTTTCAACAAAGTTCCCAAAGCTGATTGCTTGCTAACAAAGCAGCTAACTTCGCCTACTATTTCCAAAGGAATTTTAAATCTTGAATGAGTTGTTTGACTCCAGGTAAAAGAGATGTAGATACTCCAGAAGATGCAGTTGCCAAAGCAATTAAATTTTGGGACCTCACACTAGTTAGGAGAGCTTTATATAAAAAAATCTTCCCTGTTCCTCCAGGACCATCTATGAAGAATACCCCCACTTGATTTTGAATTTACATTTCCCATAATTGAATCATATGCAAATTGTTGTTCATTATTCAAGCTTGTTGCACAAGTATGGCCTCCTTCAATATCCAAATTTGTTGTTTCCTCTGCAACCATTCTTCTCTACCTTTCATTCTCATCTATACCTATACTGAATGGCACCATTTCATAGTCATTTATGTCTTTACCAAATGATTCTAAAATAAAACTGATGTCTTCTAAAGCTTGTAGTTCAGCAAATTCTGGAGCTATATCTTTATGTACGTAATCATCAATCATATAATCATTGAATTTATCCCACAACAACTTTGGACGATCAGGGTTGCAAAGCATAAGAAGTGTAGTAAAGAGACGTCTTAAAGAAATATGCATTTCATAAACAATAGCTTCAGATAGACACTCTACAAACCATGTAAAATTATAGCTTCTCTGTATGTACTAACAGTATCCCCATTTAAAGTGCGTAAATCATGGAATGATATTGGATCTCGAATATGATTGAGAAGAATGCGGAGGAAATATCGCTCTCCTTCAGATGGATTTGCTGTGACAATTTGTCCGATAACAAATTGTTTCTTTCTAAGAGTCTAAATCTTAGTTGAATTCCAAACAAAATTTGTTGGAAAATCTCGATACAAAACTGTATGTGCAAATTCATTTGCTTCATTCATTCGAAAAAATTTTGTTAACATTGTCCTTCTCGTATTTTCATTCTCGTGACAGTAGATAAATCATCTTGATCATCATATCATACTTGATGATGATTTTCAATATAAAGCTGTAAAGAATAAACAGTTAAATAAATCTCTGCCAAATTGAACGAAAAAATCCTCCACATAGGTTCAGGTGGAGATATCCATCTAACAGATTGATAAGCTGAAATTTCATCAATTTCTTTCTCTTTCATTTGCATCAACCGAAAAATTAATACGATTATGCTCTTTGTACACATATTTGTACAAATTTTTTACAGTTTTAATAGAAGAACATACTTCAACATTAATGTGACAATCAAATTTTGCACTTAAATAAGGATTGTATGGTACAACCCATCGGTTGTCTAACATTTGACCTCTAACTTTTATAGAAATACCATTATCACGATGTTTATACAACGGATATGAGTTATCACCAAAGATAGTAGTATTACAATAATCTTTAGGGTATTTATTTTTGCAACATTTATTCGCTTCCATACATGCATTTTTTTGATTAAGGTCTCTACAAGAGCTATGCATATTATGTTTGAAAATAACATAATAAAGATAAGGGTATTTGTTTTCATCAGGAATTTCGCAAGATACTATCTTATCAACATGTGCAACAGAAGAAATTTTGTGCCCATAGTTAAAAATCAACATCAAATGTGCATGAAAGAGCGCTCTTTTTTTAAATTCAATCACATATATGTGTGAAACAACAAGACCTAAGATATTTTTCTTGAATAAATCATTTTTCAATTCTTCCAATTTTGCTCTAAATATACGTGCAATGGCCAATTTGGAATACATATCATAGTCAAGAATATATCCGGTTTTCCATAACGTTGTACAATTGACATTGCATCCATATATTTCCTTAGCATATCTCTAGGCCCACATGTAAAGGATTGTGGCAAAATAAATTTTCATCTAATTTTGTAACCCCTTGTTTCTCCATTTTCAATGCTATCTACAATACCTTAGTAAAGTTTAGCACGAATTTGCTTTTAGTTGTTACGAAAATAGTCTAACCGGGCAGTTTCAATCTACATATCTACAACGTATTGTTGAAACAATCTACCAGCGTAAAGCAAAATAGACTTACCGAAAGGCCTAATTTGCAATTTTTATGAATAATATTCTCGACAGGAAATGTGAGACCGTTTCTTTGTTCCGTTAAGCACTGCATGGCGAAAAGGAAAACGAAATTGAGCATTCATTTAAAACATCCAAATTGTAAAAGTTAGAAGAATGTATAAGAAGCTATATTTGCAAACTTTGATTTTCTTTTTCAATAAATTTAGCTGCAGAGGTAACTGTTCTTGGAAATTCAATGAATTCAAGCTCAAAGTACATGCTTCTACATTTCCAAATGCCTTCATGCCAACTAGACTCCCTATATGAAAAAAGTAAAGGCTACTGTAAAGGATCATAACAACCATAATAATAATGAACATGCGAATCACCAGAATGACCATATATGGCAATGTCACGAACATGAACATTGGCATTTTCGTCATTTTCGACCCATACAACAGCTATTTGAGATACTATAGGAGTGTTGAAGACTCTTTGATCAAGTCCAGGATCGCATCTTATGTGTATACGATGATTGTACAAGTTAGACATATCCCTTAAATACTTAAAGAATCTACTATATGAATTTACTTTCAGGATTTCAATTAATACAATCAAAGTAGATTCAACAAAGTTTTCTGAAATTCTCATACGATTTTGAAGTTCATTAGCTATGTCATAAAAGTATAATTGGATATAAGAAGGCGTATTGTTCTATGGCATAAGTTCATTGACATAATAATATACTTGCCCTTGAACCCTAAATGTATAAATACCTTTGTATGCTTTAAAATGGTCTTTGTCGTACTTTACACTAAATGAAGTGAAAGTAAAATGGTTATTATATCCTCTTGCGATTTTTTTGAATTCCATAGAGTTAAGTTCTTTGGAAGTAAATAAGTTGTATAATTCAGTTGGTGAATCAAGCATAAAAAGTTGAACTTTTCCATCGGAGTAGCAGAAGCCTTTACTTTCTTTGTAAACTTTTCATGCACCACAATATTTACAGTAGATGCAAGTTGGTAATATATATGCACTCATTGGTATGTTAGTAGAGTCAAACTATCTTGTAATCTAGAATTGGAAATATTAGGCATTTCTTGGTTTGAAGTAGAAGCCTCATCATCATGATGTATTATAGAATGTTGCACTAATGCAACACTGGTATCATTATTTCTAGATGACGGAGTATTAGTTATCCTCTTGCGAAGATCATTGCAGCCAATTCAAAGTTTATTTTGCCGATCCCTTTGCCTTTGATTTCGTTGTTGGCGATGAAAAATTGTTTCAAAGTTAAGAGAACCAGTCTCTTTATTAGCACAAGTTTTCAAAATGTCCATGAGAACAATAACTTATCGAATGGTTGGAGCTCGAGGTGAACAACAGGAACTAAAAGAATTTAAGAAAAGTATTAGCATATCTGTTAAATCATCTGAACATTCGAATTAAATTTTCCAATAAAAAAAGTTGGCTGTAAAAAATATTTGAAGACAAATTGACCTATTTATAATATGTAAAAACAATAATGAACATAACATAAATTGCAGTTTTGAACACATGGAGACTATAAATATCCTAATAGAAACAAGAAGACACTATTCAGACATTGATCAGAAGAACACATATGTGGAAATTTTTTGACAATTGGAGAAAGAGCAGAATGTAGAAGAATATTGAAGATAGTAGAAGAATTCAAGCGGACAAATGATAGAAGTAAAAGAAAGAAGCTAATGGAACATCCATATTTATGCCAATGTACAAAAATATCGAAGAACCATATTGTTTATGAATGTAGAAGTGTGTGCATGAGTTTCCTTTAGTCGTGGGCATAATTTCTCTTAGTTCTTTATATTCTCTTTGTGCTTTACGTGTTTGTCCATGTGAAAAGATATCATCATATCCAAATAAAAACTTGCATATTCGAAGGTATGAAATAAGGCTTTCTTATCGACTTCCAATCACCAGATACTTGAATTCATTATCATCAAGTCAGCGTGAAACTTAGAAAGAGGAATCCTAAGTGATTTACAGAATGAATTTGAAAATCCGAAGAAGAAAATGAACACCCATGTTCACCAAGGGATATTATTTGACACTTCTCCACAATTCTAATTAACAATGTGTATATGCACAAACTAAGTAAAGAGCATTCTGCATCTATGGACTAGGAGGTGACACTTTATACACGTATAAAAGGAAATCTGGCCAACATATAACCAGTTAAAAAAAAATTTATTTATCCATCTTTCATTAGCCTAAAATTCCACAATCTACTGCACATTACAACTTCTTAGTTCCCTAGTGTAGGACTGAATTCCAGATCCTATTGAACACGCCATCTATCAAAATAATGCACATTTATGTCCTGCATGCAATTTTAAATTAATGAAGTGAGTGTTTTTTTCCATATTTGATGGCTATTTCTAGCTTGAATACAAACATGCTTGAATAAGGACCATACATCTATTTCTCAGTACATTTTCATTCAACTAAGTTGATGAAATCTTTACAAATAATCTATGTTTGTGTTTACAGTGAATTTGTTGGTAGCTTGTTACTTACGAAATGATTTATTTGTTATCTCCCATTTGTATCAATAGAATTCATCATTTTTCTCAAAGGATTAGAACAATCCCTCAGTCGAAGATGATCCTCTGCCTACCTTTCTACATATTAGTTAAGCAATCTTCCTCATCTCTTTCTTATCTAAGTTCAAGCTGTAGATTAGCCTATGCATATTCTTCAAATATCATTCTTACTTCTCCATTTTGAATGAATCAAATCAAGCAAAAATTACTATTTTCTTGCATGCACATTCACCGAGTTAAACTAACATCCACTTGAATTTCCAAAGATAAAGATACATGAATTTATATTTGAGAAAACTTAAATTATAATTTAAATTAACCAAATATATTTTTTTATTCATACATTTTATTCTATAATTACTAACTGCTTATTATCCACCCATTAAAAATATATTCACAGCATTGGAACATTTGAATGAAGTTCACCACGTGCCATGTACTCAATTTGTGACCCTCTTTTCTTTATATTTCTTTCTTCAATTGAGATTATGTTTTATGTAGTTTGTCTTGATTCAATCCATCTTGAAGCAAGTCTACAAACAGGTCGGACTAATAACAAAGCTTCATGGTTCCACCTCTCATTATCGAGGCATAGCTTTACATACTATTAAATTAAAGCCGTGCCAAAATAAAATTATGATTAAAAGGGAATTCAAACTCGACTAAAAATAAACAAGTTATTGTACGTTATTAATAATTAAGAAAATGTACTCAAATCACATGAAATCAAAATAAATACTATTTTGGGAACCAGCTCACATGACAAGGGACCTCATGTTGTAAGATCGAAAAATAATTATTTGGTATATCAAAATGATTTATTTGATATATCTTTTTTTAGGGAAAAAATTCTTGTGAAATCTTTTATTAGATGCAGAGGTTGTTTTTATGTAAGTGAAGATTACATAGATGTTGGTTGTCCAAATTGGAAAAATTTTGTTCGCTCAAATTTTGAACAACAAAATCAACTACATAATCAATATCGCTACCTTTATTACTACAGGCCCATAAACTTTGAACCAGAAACTAAGGGTGACTTAAACGGACAACAACATGAATAGGAATAATCTTAAAAATCTGTCACCAAAACACCCTCATTTTTACCTAGACAAACAAAGCCTTCTAATTTGAAAACTATAAAATAGAAATCCATAGACTCTAGTAGAAGAAGAAGAATCACTACACCAAAAATATTAAATTCCACGACCTGAGAACCCGAATCATAAGAAACTCGACCCAGGAACAGTAATCTCGGCTGCTTTAGGAATGTTTGAAACGATGCAATAAAGTTGAAGGGGAAAAAAATGTCTTGAAATTCCTGCTTAATAAATCAAATAAAAAGCAATAAGGTTGAAGGAATTGGAAGAAAAAAGACACAAGAATGAAGTTTTTTGGATTATATCTCAAGATTCTCGGCTTTTCTGTACTAAAATTTTTTGAAAAGAAGAACCATAAGCTGAAGGAAAAGTTTAAATCGACATACTTCATGATTCGAGTGTATAAATACCAGAACATGTAGAAAAATGTACAAACGCCGTTGCAAATTAGCAAATGACAGCAACACGTACAAAAGCCACTGCAAAATTGCAACAGGATGAAGACACGGAGCTATAATCGTCGATTGAATTTGCCAAGGGTTTTGTTTCGCCTTTTTCTCTATAGTAGAGAGAGAAATATAAGTTCGTATGAAAGAAGTTTTTGCAACACAGTGATCACAGTAGATTCTGGAGATATTTTGTATCCAAAGATCATTATTGTTATCCATACATAAAGACCATTAAGCCCTTATTTTTGGAATTAATAAAATAGGATTGGAGGGTCAAACGGAAAATTCACCAAAACTTCTCAAATGAATAGTGCAGTATGTATTATCTCTTTTAAGAGAGTAAAGATAATCTCAATTTAAGACCTTGTTTGATTTCAATTTTGGATGAAATAATACATTTTGAATAGCAGATTGATGGAGAATGTGTGGTTAAAAATTAAAGAAAAGTTAAGAATTTGTGTGTAATATTATTTGGTTAAAAATGATTTTTGAAAAAATAATTTTTTAGAAGAATGAGAATCAAACATGGGCTAAATGTCCGAATAAATCCTTTAGAGAAATTATTTATTTTTTCTAAGAGCATCTCCAAAATACTTTTCAACATAAGATACTTTTTATTTTAAAGAGTTAACTTTTCAAATCATGTTCCAAGGAATTCTTTAAATTAACATTTTAATTTAGAGAGTAGGTCTCTATAATTAAGCCCTTGTTTGATTCTCATTCTTTGAAAAAAAAATACATTCTTAAATAGTATTTTGACAATATTTTAACTATACATTATTCAAATATAAAATATTACATGTAAATTTAAAACTTTTTATTAATTTTTTAACCACACATTTCCATCAATACACTATTCAAAAATTCATTCTTATCAAAAGAATGAGACTCAAATAAGGGCCAAATGTATTTAAAGTATTTCAATTTTCAATATAGAAAAATAATATAATAATTTAGAGAAAAGTTGGTTTAAATAAAAGATAAAGAAAATAATAAATATTTTTTGAAAATAGTAAAGTTAAGTGTTAAATATAAAGAGTTTATTAGAGTACTTCAAAATTTTTACTCTCTATATTTATAGATGCCCTCTAAAATATGGAATATGCTATTTAAAAATTGAGTCTTTTGAAGATACTCTAATACAATATTTTGATTGTTCTAAATTTTCAAGTTTAGTTACGACTCTTTATATTCCATTTTCAACTTTTCCTCTTAATATTGTCAAAATTTGCATGTCCATCCAATGGAAACTGTTAACCTCGAAAAATGCACCTCCAACATGGACAATAGATTTCAAGACCTCTTACGTCTAGATAAGCTGTATTCCTGCACACTAGGATAAATCGTTAGACATACGTGGCTTTCTTGGGTGGATGGAGCCAACCGCGTGCACTCTGATAGTCAAGTCAGTTTATGGAAAGAAATATATTGAGTGTGGGAAAGCTTTTAACGTGAACCTTCAATATAGAATAAAGGGGATCTGTATTGGGAGTCAAATAAAGAATCATAGAGAGCAAAGTTATAGTATTAAAGTCTAAACTTGCATTACCTTTGAAATGACACCAAGTGTGAGTTTTTATTGTAGAAGATGGTGAGTAAGAGCCATTGGATAAAGAGACACGTGGCCTTATCTTGGTGGCTAGGATCTCTTGTCATAGGCATTAATCAATCAGACTTAGGCTTAAGTGCATTTAATGTTATGACCATTTGCAATTCTAGGCCTGACATGTAAGACTAGACTTGACTTGCTGATTGAGTTGAGCCATCTATGCAATAAGTTGTCACATCACCCACTTGTTACAAGATCTTGTATGAAGATCTTTCCTAAGATGCCTTTACCTTCCTCGCCTCATTCATGGGGCTCGGCTCTCCACTGGTTCGACCAATAGGGGTCGGCCAGGAAGGTCAACCCATGGTGGCTCAGCCGTGGGGGCTCATCCACGGGGGCTTGGCCATGGGAGCTCTACAAATTGCTACATGTGTAGAATGATGTAGAGTGCGGGCCTAAGTTCTCTTGCTGTGCAGTTGTTATTTGATAATGTTTAGAGTCTCATTGGAAGAGATGTAACAATAGTCCCCCAAGTTTTTGTATGAATATTTATATAATACGTGAACTTGAAAGTTAGGAAAAAGAAAAATATCGTGGAATACCATATAGTCCCTGAAATCCAAGTATGGATATTAATATGATGTGTGGACTTGAAAATTAGGAGAAAGAAAAAGATTGTGGTATTAGGCTTGTTGTACTTAGTGGAAGCCGTGATGAGATTTCAAGAAAAAGAGGCGATGCCACATGGAGAGGGGAGCCTATTATACTTAGTGGAAGTCGTGATAAGGCTTCAAGGAAAAGAGGCGATACCACGTGGAGAGGCGAGCCTGTTATATTTAGTGGAAACTGTGATGAGGCTTCAAGAAGAAGAGGTGATGTCATGTGGAAAGGCAAGCCTGTTATACTCAGTGAAAGCCGTGATGAGGCTTCAAGAAGAAGAGATAATGCCATGTGGAAAGGCGAGCCTGAGGCGATTCCATGTGGAGAGGCAAGCCTTGTTATACTTAGTGGAAGCCATGACTTGGCTTCAAGAAGAAGAGACGATGCCATTTGGAAAGGCGAGCCTAAGGTGATGCCATGTGGAGAGGGAAGCCTGTTATATAAAGTAAAAGCTGTGATGAGGCTTCAAGAAGAAGAGGCAATGCCATGTGGAGAGACGAACTTATTATACTTAGTGAAAGTCGTGATGAGGCTTCAAGAAGAAGAAGAAGGTGCTCTGAATGTCAACAACTTGTGCTAAGGTGATGTAGAGGGGCGATGCTCTGCATGTTAGCATCTTGTGCTAAGTTGATGCAGAGGCGGTCGTTGATAAGGTTGAATTGAACTTGGAAAAGGCCCTTTGTATAAGGCATAACGTATCAGAAAGAGGCGACCATTGATAAGGCCAAATTAAACTTAGCCAAGGCCTCTTTTAGAAGGAAAAGGCCATCTGAAAGAGCGAGACCATCGATAAGGCCAAAATAAACTTGGCTGAGGCCCTTTGTATAAGGAAGAGCCTATCGAAAAGAGGTGGCAGTTGATAAGATCAAAATAAACTTGGCCAAGGCCTCTTGTAGAAGGAAGAGACGGTTGTTTGATAAGGCCAAAATGAACTTGGACAAGGCCTCTTGTAGAAGGAAGAAGTGGCCGTTGATAAGGCCAAATTGAACTTGGCCGAGGCCTCTGTATAAGGAAGAGCCTATCGAAAAGAGGCGATCGTTGATAAGGCCGAAATGAACTTGGTCGAGGCATCTTGTAGAAGAAAGATAGGCCATTTGATAAAGTCGAAATGAACTTGGCCGAGGCCTCTTGTAGAAGGAAGATGCCATTTGGGAAGATACGGTCGTTGATAAGGCCGAATTAAACTTGCCCGAGGCCCTTGTATAAGGAAGAGCCTATCAAAAAGAGGGGGTCATTGATAAAGTCGAATTGAACTTGGTTGAGGCCTCTTGTAGAAGGAAGAGGCCATCCAAAAGAGGCAGTCGTTGATAAGGTCGAAATGAACTTGTCCGAGGCCCTTTGTATAATGAAGAGCCTATCGAAAAAAGACGGTTGTTAATAAAGTCGAATTGAACTTGGCCGAGGCATCTTGTAGAGGAAAGAGGCCATTTGACTGTTGATAAGGTTGAAATGAACTTGGTCAAGGCCCTTGTATATAGAATAGTCTATCGAAAAGAGGTGGCCGTTGATAAGTTCGAAATGAACTTGGCCGAGGTCTTTTGTAGAAGGAAGAACTGATCGAAAAGAGGCGATCGTTGATAAGGCCAAAATGAACTTGACTTAGGCCTCTTATAAAAGGAAGAGGTAGCCGTTTGATAAGGTCGAAATGAACTTAGCCGAGGCCTCTTGTAGAAGGAAGAGGCTATCTGGGAAGAGGCGACTGTTGATAAGGTCGAATTGAACTTGGCCTAGACCCTTGCACAAGGAAGAGCCTATCAGAAAGAGACGACCGTTGATAAAGATGAATTGAACTTGGCCGAGGCCTCCTGTAGAAGAAAGATGCCATCCAGAAGAGGCAACCGTTGATAAGGCCGAAATGGACTTGGCCGAAGCCCTTTGTATAAGGAAGAGCCTATCGGAAAGAGATGACCATTGATAAGGCTGAAATAAACTTGGCCAAGGCCTCTTGTAGATGGAAGAGCCAATCAGAAAGTGGTGGCTATTGATAGGCTAAAATGAACTTGGCCGAGGCCCTTCGTATAAGAAAGAGCCTATAAAAAAGAGGCAGTCGTTGATAAAGCTGAAATGAACTTGACCGAGTCCTTTTGTAAAAGGAAGAGGTGGTCGTTTGATGAGGTAAAAATGAACTTGGCCGAGGCCTTTTGTAGAAGGAAAAGGCCATCCAGGAAGAGCGGCCGTTGATGAGGCTCAAATGAACTTGGTCGAGGCCTCTTGTAGAAGGAAGAGGCCATCTGGAAGGGACGGCCATTGATAAGGCCGAATTGAACTTGGCTGAGGCCTTTGTATAAGGAAGAGCCTATCTAAAAGAGGCGGCCATTGATAAGGCCAAAATGAACTTGGCTGAGGCCTCTTGTAGAAGGAAGAGACAGCCATTTGATAAAGCCGAATTGAACTTGGCTGAGGCCCTTGTATAAGAAAGAGCCTATCAAAAAGAGGTGACCTTGATAAGGTTGAATTGAACTTGGCTAAGGCCTCTTGTAGAAGGAAGAGGCAGTTGTTGATAAGGCCGAATTGAACTTGGCCAAGGCCCTTGTATAAGGAAGAGCCTATCTGAAAGAAGCGGCCTTTGATAAGGTCGATTGAACTTAACAGAGGCCTCTTGTAGAAGGAAGAGGCCATCCAAAAGAGGTGGCCGTTGATAAGGCCGAAATGAACTTGGCGAAGCCCTTTTTATAATGAAGAGCCTATAGAAAAGTAGTGGTCGTTGATAATGTCGAAATGAACTTGGCCAAGGCTTCTGGTAGAAAGAAGAGGCGACCGTTTGATAATGTCGAAATGAACTTGGCCAAGGCCTCTTGTAGAAGGAAGAGGCCATCCCGAAAAGGGTGGCCGTTGATAAGGCCGAATTGAACTTGGGCGAGGCCCTTGTATAAGGAAGAGCCTATCGGAAAGAGGCGGCTGTTGATAAGGCCGAGTTAAACTTGGTCGAGACCTCTTTGT